CCGTGACCTCCTGTATGCAGCCCACTGCAGCATGAGAGCTTCCCCATGCTGTGCAGGGCGTCGAGGTTCATTGACTGTGCCTTAACTTCGCTGCTCAGTGCTGGTTGGTGAAGGCGGGGAGCATAGTCGTTCATGAATATAATAAGTTCAGTACAATAATGTATTTTGCTGTACAGGAGTCCCTCGGTTAAGAGTGACATCGATTTCATGTTTTTTTGGTTAGCGTTTCGCCTCCCAAAGGATCCCATGGTTTCGACTAACATTAACATTTTGACGAACGACATGTTAATGCTTTTTTCACGTGGGCGCCAATTTAGGCCAATCCTAGTGCTCCTAAGTGGGGCTGAGCCATGCCCTCAGCCAATCAGCGATGCCCATTTATTACACGCTTTTATTTAACTCACTCTGTTGTTGCTGTCGTATCCTCAAATATTGTAACTCAATCTTAACCCACTTCCCAATGTGGTATCGACTGCAAACTTGGTATACTTATGACAGTACTATATTCTAGAAAAAAAATATATAAAAAATGTATTTGAAAATTTTCATTTTTATGTTATGTTTCGGCTTGGGTCTAATTGTCCACGCTCAACTGACGTTGGCTGTAAATCACCACGGTCCCCTTACGTTGTGGCAAGCTTCGGGGTCACTTCCTGGAGTTCTGCCATTACGAGTACGGTACATTTCATTAAAGTGCGTTTAAAAAAAAATGATTTTTAAATATTACTCATGAGCGTTTAGACCTCGACTGGCTTTGTTTACATTGCATTTTCTGTTTTGGCAGGGGAAGGAGCTCTCTTGCAGACTCGGTGATTTTCCATTTAACAGTTCTTTCGGTTAACACTAGTTTTTGGTGGAACGGATTAAAAAATGTTAAACTGATAATAGGGTTTTCCCATTTCTGGCAATAAAACAGGCGTTAATATGTTAAAACACCAAACTGAAACCTTTGCAAGGAATCATGTCTACATTAGCCACATATACTTGCGGTGAACATACAAACAAAAAAAACATGCTCTAACAGTATGTGCATTGTCTTGTCTTTGTGCTGTTCGCCTTTTGGCGTCCTCTGGCCTAACACTGTTTGAGAATAGGCTCTAAAGAAAGCTGTCTGTGGTGTGGACCAATCAGTTTCAAAGACAATGCATCGTATACGACCAGAGCTTAGTGTTTTTTGTTTGCATGTTCACAAGTATATGTGGTTAATGCAGACATGATTCCTTGCAAAAGGTTTCAGTTTGGTGTTTTAACATCTTAACACAACCTGTTTTATTGCCAGAAAGGGGAAAACCCTATTGTCATAATTTAATACTGGCAAAGAAGGTGTCAGGGAACAACTGTATTGCCCTCAGCTGACCACCACGTAGGCCTGCAGCAGCCTGCAAATAACAAGTTGTACATGGTGGTTGCCCATCTAAGCGCTAACCAGACCCAATGCTGATTAGCTTCCCTATATATATTTAAATGCGGTACTTAAAATTATCAGTTGTTTATCCATTCGATACACTATGTAGTGTGATTGCTTTCGGTGAGGTCATGGCGAGTGGAGAGGGTCAAGGAGGGAATGCGGATAATAATTTAGGAATGGTTGGGGGGACTTTTTTGGTGGCCAGTGGGTAAGGCAGTGAAGCACTGAGGTCTCGGGGAGCGGGTGACGTACCCACGCTAGACCCGCTATATTTCTCTGGCAACAGCAGTGGTTAAGAAAATCGTTAGTACGGTGCTATTTGCGGCATGCAAATTGTGTTTACGTTTCGAACCTTTTCCACCACCCCCCTCGTCCCCCGCAAACTAGTAACATTGCTCCCTCGATCATCAACGCAGGCCTTGCGCAGGAAAGAACAAAGATTCCACGATTAACATCCGTCTTGTACTCCGTGCACGGCATGGAGTACGATGCCCAAGGTCATGGCCGGCAATTGTATTTAGATTTAGAACCCTTAGAAACCTCCAGTATGGATGAATTCACCAGCGGGGCCCTTGACAGCAGAGAGACGCCTTACCTGCGCTTAACAATGCGATCGTACATCTTGTGCACGATGCCTCTTGCGTTGGCTGGAACAGCGTGAAACGACCTCCCGTGTTAAATGGAGACCCACTGAGCTACAGCGTTCGCTGCTGTTTAAATGCGGCTCGCTGTTTGTTGCGCTCCTTGCAGGCGGACGGGCGGGCGGGCGGGCTGGTCTGACTTTGGAGTTAATTTAACGGCATAATTGCCCTCGAGCCCAAAGCCCTGAACCTCACTCACGATAGTGGGTGTTACAGAGCGCCGATGCTTTGCTTGTGAAATCAGTTTAACCCTTACACGGCGAGCCAAGCATCCCTGTTTGAATGTATTTTGAACTTCTTTCGCACCGTACGTAGCCAACCGTGCTTAATCGGAGGTTTCGGGGGAAGGCCAACTAAACGCAAAAAGCAGTTCTGAAGAATTGAGTTTTCAATCGAGAATGCTCCTTCCACACTAGCAACTCGTGTGGAGAATGTCATCATCAGGTATGGTCGCTCAACTGCTGGATGAAGGCCTTTCACTAACCGTCGCCATCCCTCATGGTCCAGCGATGTATCCATCCACTTAGCACGTGTTCACGAGCCGATTTAATCTCTCCATATCCGCAGTGAAAGCCCTCTCTGGCGTCTTTTCCCTCCTTAGGCTCCCACTCCCACGTTAGTCTCAATGCGACGGCAATTGTGTAATTGGTGACAAAAAATTTAATTCATTTAAAGACGCACAAAATATACAGTCACGTTTCGTTAAACATTGTTTACTACTGTTGTTTGAAAGGCGTTTTCTTTTTAAACGCCACACTCGTGCGACTTGTTTACAAGGGGGCCCTCCCTCCGTGCCCATTGCTCTATTTCGTGTCCCGTGAAAAATGCATTGCCGCTTGCTAATTCGGCCATGACACACGGCTTGTCGTGGTGTCAAATTAGAGGCCCGTGACGATGGTACGTGAATATCAGCGGGCGGAGGTGACATTTAACCGAGATAAACCCGCCGTTGTGCACGTGAGCAACGCACACCGAACAGCGCGACCCCGGGCGGCCCTGGGCATGTTCGGCTCGGATGATTTAATAAGGAAATTTGGCGAAATTATGCCCAATTACGAATACGGTTTGGATTCATGTGACGTGTAAAACGCAAACGCATTTCGAGCTGCTGTATGGGATGCATAAAATAACAATAAAATATAACAATTGTTCTCCCCCCACGAGAATAACAACGCAAGTAAGAGAAATCGTGCATGTGCGTGGATGTTCGGTAATACTTTCTTCAGGCGTATTTAATCAGCAGTAGTAATTGTACCTTATGAGCTGGCGCAACTAGATAATGATTTCATGAGTAGGTGAGAGGTGAATAGCGCCTGCGGAATGTGACGGCATCACCTTGGCCGAAAAAGGCGTATCCGTTTTGCCAATAGGGCAATTTGATTAAATTGGAATTAGGAAATGAAGCCCAAATAAAACCCAACAAAACGAGAGTGTTTTCACGTTCTTTGGCACCTGAGTGCAGTAAAATATTAATTAACACGCATGTAAATATCCAAATGTGACTCCACAACCCATTGATTTATGTTGTGAATTCGACAGGGGCTGTTAAGGTTTGTTTAGAAGACATTTAAATAACTGGCGTTCGCCCAGGTTGAGGTCTGTTTCTATAACTTTCATCGTTGTAAATAAAAGAATATATATCCTGCAACCTGATATATTTTGTTCTAATTATGGAAGTAATTGGCTTATTATAATTTTCTACCCCATTTGACATCTCCATTCACGTGCTTAAGAAGGGCCGTTGCCTGAAACGTCACCTCTCGTATACTTTTCCCAATGTGCTTTTCTCTTTTAAGGCAGTTTCATTAACAAACGTGTCGAGTGGGCACTTGTGCGCAACTGCCAACAGTGCAGCATCACCAAAAATAATTGGCTTATCAGCATTGCTGACTTTTTTTTAAATCGGGATAAAGGCTAGCACGGGTACCCCCCCCCTCCCCCACCCTTGCCTAGCCGTGACGATCAAGGAAACGTGCTCACACATTCCCGTGGGATCCCTTCATTTGCATCTGCGGCGTCGTTAATGAGCAGTCGAACGTGGAAAGGTTGTGGCTTACGCACGGCGTTAAACGCCCAAGTGGAAGCGGTTTGGGAGGTGCTCGTTGATTCTTGCCACGTAACCTACGTTGCAACAATTTATAGGCAAAGGTGCCATTGTTGTCATCTTACATAGCCCAGAATGTAGAATTTCGTTGCCACTGCTGTGTCCAGGGGAATTCGTACCGCGCCCTTCACTCAGTAGAAAGTCGTCTCATTCTGTAACAGTGATTCAGGCAGGAGGCGACGTTATCATGTAAAGTACAAACTTTGATGGCAACCCCTAATGATGCAATCCTATGAACACAGACACAGTCTTTGAGTTGTATGCATTTATGTTGAACTTCTTTCGCACCGAATGTAGCCAACCGCGCTGATTGGAGATGTGGAGTTCACACGAGGAGTTGGCGTGAGCTAGCAGTTGATAAATTGATTATGTGCCTCTTGGCCCTGTAGGTACTTAATGCCTGGTTATATAAAATTTAACTCCGTCCTGTTGCGGGCACTCAAGAAACTCGTCAATTTGTTATGAATTTAACTTTTATTGCCGAGCTGGGGCTCCAGGTGGAGGGAGGTGGGGGGAGCCGTGTACATTTTTTTAAACTTTATTTTCACCTCGCCTGCTTTTGAGAGAAATCATTAGTGGCACACCGCTACATTTCCGGAGCGTTAAGTTGTTGTGTGGAGTGATCGTCTGGGTAAATGTCAGCCACTATACTACACGAGGTTTTCCTTTGCTTTGAGAATTCCAGAAGGACGCGTCCTCGCCCGTGTGCCATGAATCCAGTATCAAAATAAATTCATGTAATCCTATCCTTGCAGTGGTCGATTGCTGGCAGGTGCCGCCAGACAGTGGCTTGTTCAATTCGTGGCATTGGAATTTGACTTGAAACTCCTCCGCCTGCCGTTTGTAGCCAACAAACTGGTGCTGCCCGTCGCCGGAGCCCACTTGGTCTACACGCTGCGGCCGCACGAGCCGCTCGCGAAGGCACTGCATCTGCTGCCCGAAAACTGCCCTCTGCCCGGCTCCGCGATAGTGCCCGGCCTGGCATCGGCTCCGGCTAACTCGGGTAAGTCCGTGCGAAAGGGCGCGTGCGAGGGCGCACAGTCTGCGTTCGCACGTACATGGCACACGCGGGCGGCTGAGTTACGCGCTCGTCGTTTGCCACGACGACAATCCGACGTTGTCCGAACGGGCTCACTTCGTTATGCCTCCTCGGCGTTGTGTTTTACTCTGGCGGCGATCACGGCCACTGCGGTTGCTACTGTTGCTGCTGAGGTTGGATTCATTCTCTCTCGACTTTCGTGAAGCCCCGTCACGCTTGCACTCCGCATATATATTTGAAAGAAAGAACAAAAAAAAAACATTTAATTCTTCTACAGCTAATTTGTGTAGATGAAATAAATCCCTAAGTGCTCACTTGGCACGTTGTAGACGAAATTCAGAAACTGAGAGTGAAACGGACCAAGCAGCCTTTGTGACAGCGAGCAAATTGCAAAACTTGAAGCACTAATCGGAACAAGCAGTCTGAAACAAGGTAAGCTTCTGATTTTATTTTAAAAAACGATGGCGCTCGCAGATGTGCTTAAATAACCACGGCAAGATATTTCACAACTTAGGAGCTGCCTCGGAAACAACACTCCCCCCCCCCCCCCCCCATCGAAGCTTAAAAAAAATCAATCCCCGTGGTGTCGTTGCAAAACGCAACAACAAAAGCGTAACGGAACGCGCAAAAAACTCCGGCCGGCTACTCACGGTGGAACACAGCGGACGGAACGAACTTTTTTTCTTCTTCCGTTCGTTGATACTGCTCGGCATTAAAAATGATGCATTGCGGTAAATAACGTTCGCGGAGAGATACATCAGACGGCTTATTGCAGCACACGCAAAGGACGATCCACGTTGGTGCGACGGGATCATTACAGTCGATCAAGTGGATGTGTGTCTGAATGCCGCAAAGTGCCGCATAAATTTACCGTTACGGCCCATTAAAGCAGAGCACATGACCCCCCCCCCCAGTGTGTTCTTGCTAATCTTTATAGCCCCCGTGCCGCCGTTGGTAAGGCCACCTGTGTTGTTGTTGTTGTTATCTATTTTCTGGCCGTGCAGTTGTTGTCCTTGTTTTATAAAAAAAAAACCCCACACAACTCTTCTACGAAAGAAGATGTAAAACTTGCAAGATCCTTAACATTTGGGTTCTTCACAGTTATGAGCCAAGACTCTGTGCGACTCATTAATTCTCTTCTCGACAACGTGACCACCGTTGAATGCATCAAGATTAATCATCCAGGGAGTGCAGTCCTTTTTTTTGTTTTCGATTGGCGGTCTGCAGTGCTCTTCAGGCATTGTGTACCAGTGTTGGTGTCGTTAAACACGTTGTGTCTAGAAACCAAAAAAAAAATCCAGAAAGGCATATTCGTCATCTCTGGTAATATGCTTGAATCGTCCCGCATTGAGATCTCGGAAGCTAAGCAGGTTCGAGCCTGGCTCGGGCTTGCTGAACATAATGCATGAAGACTCGAACTTTATTATTTCAGCCGGTAAAGGTCCATTAAGCCAAGAAACTCTTACAAGGACAACCACAGCCCAAGACCGTCCGCAGTGGTGGCAGTTACCGGAGATCGCAGGGAGGGAATGGGCAAACTATTCGTGGTTGTGCATGCCGGGTTGTAATACGTGGCTAAGTGGCGGTCGGTCAAGGGCAGTGTTGCAAATTGCACTGTTGTACTATTCACTGCGCTGACAGCTATGCCCTCCGCCTTCACCGACTCGCACTGACCAGCATGGTAAAGCTTTGCCAAAATAAACCGCCATGAACCGCAGTGGATTGGCAGAATGGTTATATGTGTGCAGAAGTGATACGCTTAAGTCTTCGGAGTGGCGGAGCGCTCGGTTGTACATTTACAAGTTCGATAGGCCACATCACGATCACGATCATGATAAAAAAAACACAAGGTCGAGTGCTGAAGAGCATGCGTGGCACTGTGTGAGTACACTGATATAATAATATTGTTCATTAGTGCAGAATAATCGGAAAAAGAGAAGCACTTTGTTTTAGCAGCCCTTTTACCGTGCAATGAATGCCCTCAGCCTAACTGAGCCATATTTATGAATCTTAAGGATTCAACGGGAATGCATAAGTCTCAGAATTTCGGACTCGTTTATTTAGTAATCAATGGCGACATTTACAACTCAGGATAACCAAACTAAGGGGATCTGTAAATAACTCCTGAGAGGCGAGAGAGAGAGAGCGCTGTGCATCTCCGTGTGGTTTCCTTTGCCTGATCCGAACGCTCGGCCCGAATGCCACGAATTGTCCTGAAACGAACAGAAGCTTTGTGTGGTGCCACGCTCTCAGGATCAGACCCCCTTTGCAATTCATCCTGATGACTTTACGTTTCTTAATAGTAATGATGCGATAAAGGATTGGGGGCCGCAAGGGCAGGCTGAAGGGTGGGGGCTTGGGCACTTGCACTGCCTGTCACCCATTGGTGCTGCATAATTGTCCCTGTGATTTTGTTGGCGTCAATGTCACTAAGAGACACCGCTATCTTTTTAAGCATCCGTAGCGCCACCCGTTCTACAAATGGATGACTCGAGCACAGGCTATAAGGATGATTTTACCGATGGCCACCTGAGACGCTCGCGCTCCCAGCAGCGGCTGGCAGGGCCAGCCGCTCCGCCCCCCCCCCCCCCCCAGAGCTGGGGGGGGGGGCGGAGCTAGAGGGGGGGCGACGGAGCCGGGGGGGGGGGGCGACGGAGCCGGGGGGGGGCGACGGAGCCGGGGGGGGGCGGAGCTAGGGGGGGGGGGCGACGGAGCCGGGGGGGGCCCGACGGAGCGGGGGGGGCCGACGGAGCGAGCGAGGGAGCCGACACTGACTTTCTCACACATCATACACTGACTCACACATCGTACACTGACTTTCTCACACATCATACACTGACTTTCTCACACATCATACACTGACTCACTCACACATCATACACTGACTCACTCGCACATCATGCACTGACTCACCCATCATGCGCTTACTCACACATCATGCACTGACTCGCTCATCACGCGCTTACTCACTCACACATCATACACTCGCACAACGACTGACCCATTCACTCATCATACACAGGTTCGCTCATCGTGTGCTGGCTCACTCGCACATCATACACTCACTCACACTGCCGCTGACTAGCACATCGTGCGCTGACTCACACATCATACACTCACTCACGCTGCTGCTGATTCACTCACACATCATACACTGACTCACACTACCACTGACTCACTCACACATCATACACTCACTCACGCTGCTGCTGACTCACTCACACATCATACACTGGGAGTGTCGTGCTGCCAGCTATGGCTGCAGGTTTTGTCGTACGTGTTATGTATATCGTATATTGTTAAATTTAAAATCACAGTTCCTATGATTATTGTTGTTACATTGTTTTTGTAGCGTTATTTTGGTCTGGTTGTGATGTAATAGTTTTCTGCAATGTAGATTCATATTTTGTTTGTTGCGGTTACACCCGACCTAAGAGCCGCATGGCTCACAGGGCTATACCTAATAAATGAAACTTGAAACTTGATGTCTGAAGTACACACTGTCATACAGTTTGCTTATAAAATGAAATAGTTGCATGATGCTTGAGTGATTTTTCATTTTGCTAATCATGATAATTGTGTCCTTTGGTACAAAGAGCTGAAATTTTTTTTTATAAGAAGCGCGTAAGGAGGTGCTTTCCGGGAGTTGCACTGAGAGATAGGAGAGAGGAATATTATGTCGATTAGAGAACATTCACAAGTCAACGATGTGACAATCACCATTGCGAAAAGTAAGTGGGCTTGGCAGGACATGTCGCGAGAAGGGATGATGGCCGGGATGATGGCCGGTTGATGGAGACTAATGACAGAGTGGTATCCGAAGAAGGGAACACGTCAGAGACGAATGGCACGCAGCTGTTAATGCTGCGGTAGCCGGTAGTCTAAGCAAAAGCCGGCTTATCCAAGGCAAATGTTTTCTACACCTGCAGATATTCCATCGGATGAGCAGCAGCCAGTCGCTGTAATCTCATTTGCGCTGGGACGTAATGCGAAAGCGTACCCGTCCAGATTTCACGTCCTGTGACCCTTATGCTTTCCCACGATTCTGCATAATCCCCGGAGTACGGTAGCCGAACAAAATAAAGTGGAGGACGAGGATGAGGTGTTGCTCGAAGTAACATTGGTAGCCCCGGGAGATCACGGTTCTCCGATTTAGTACAATTGCACACGGTCCAATTGTGGGGACTGCACCTCTGCTCAGACACCCTTACCCAACGGACCCCAGCAGTGTTCACTTGACAGCTTGTTAATTTAAAGGATAAAAATTTACCACACTCGGTTGCTCGCAAGATAGCCCGGAACATCTTATTGCATTCGAGAAAAGAGTTAACCATTTGCATGTACGAGATATGCTGCAATTTATTCCATTGTAGCGCATTAAGGTTAGAGATGCACCTCCAGACATCTTGTGGAATTGTAGCCGCATGCTACACCGTTGCCTGGCGGAGAAGTTTTGCTGGGAGATCGCCAAATCCATTTGAGTGTGGGGCACCGCTGCATATCACACCAATGGTTAGCCGTGAAATCGTCTCTAGATTACCAAGTGTTGTGGCTTTAAAATGTTCGGCTTCTAAAATGGCAATAACATAATGGGACCGAAATGCGCTCGGAAGCGCCAGCTCATTACGTGAAAGAGGATTATTTCGTACTTTTGTAAGATTTCATTTTTACAATGGGAATTGGGACTCAAACTTTACGCCCATCCATCCTGCCCACAACGGACCCTCAAATCCGTATATGTGGATACTGTTATATGACTAATTGTATCTTAGTGTAATTAAGTATTCCTAAACACTGTTAGAGATAATTTCACGTCCTCACGGGCATTAAACCCATATGTTTTTGCATGTCAATAATGGAGGTTGCAGGTGCCGGGCGTTGGTACGTGGCCTGTAATAGAACACTGTCTAGGCGAAGGTTGGTGGATCGCACAAATGTTGCTGCAAGACTCCCTTTTCGTGTGCGTCGATGTGCCATACCCTGGTTTGCTGGGAGAAGGCAGTGTTGCGAGTTAAGACTAATCTCCATCTGTTTCCAGCTCTACGGGGATGAAGTGTTGTCCCATCCCACAGCGTAGCTTTTCTCCGCGCGTGCGAGGAGGCTCTCATTAATTGGCTGAAAACATCTTTATATATAGAGAAATGCAGAGCTCGGACTGTTATTGGTGCTGGCTCACCACCTGGCTGCCTTCCAGTCTCTGGTTCCTCAGCGATTTGTACGAATGACGACGCTGTATTGAACGAAATGTCATGATGATAACCCCTATTTTTTTTATTCAATTTATTTCTACGTGACTTTACCGAAAGAACCAAAGTGTAATTCCTTGCAGTCACGAAAGCTTCGAATCTAGTTTGATACCCCTTCCTTTCATTCGTCACCTGTAAAGATAGAACATTTAGAGTTAGAATTATAACACAAGAGGGGTGAGGGCTTACATGGAGGGACTGAGATGGCACAAGAGCCAGAGCAAGTGCCAGTACATTCTAATCTGCTCTGCATTCATCACGGAAACGCTACGGAGATAAATGGATAAATGCCAACGCACGTTAAAAAAAAAACAGCTCCTTCACACATGAAAAGTTGTCTTTGCTGTGTCATGAATATATTAAGATATCTGCGTTGTGTTTTTTTTTCTTCAGAAATTTGTTTGCTATCTTTGGGCGGCGACAAGACCCAGCGTGTTCGCTGGGTCTTGTTGTGGAGGTTCACAGTTCGGGGGATCCAGTGGCTGCCCTGGCTAATACCGCGGGCGTAACCACCGCATAACTACGCACCGTCTGCTTCACCTTGAACTTTAAAGATCCCGTGGTGTCATTCGCAAGAGTAGGCCGTTTGTGTGCCGGCGTCATGTGTCTAAAATTTGCTAATCTAATGAAATTGAATTGATAAGTAGCAAATGATTGCCGACCTACTGTGGAAACTTAACAGGACCCTCGCTAAAAAGGGTCCCGAGACTCGATGAAGCATTTCTGGTTAGACAAGCATAATAATAATAATGAGCTATGTGTCAATCGAAACCCTGCACCACAAAAACAAAGATATTGCCAAATGCTGCTTTCCGAATAAGCGTAGCAATTTAAAAAGTGGCAGAGGATAACGTGAGCCAATTGAACATAGATTCATACAAAAGAGAACACATAGAATGAACCAATTTCCGAGATCACATTCAAGTCTCCAAGCATCACAATCTTAAATCACTCAGCAATGCACATCCCCCGAATTTATTGTTCAGTTACTTAGAACGTAAATATAGAACTGACTGTATTTTTCCTCAGAAGGTACTCTCACCCCGTGATTACTGATGATGTTTTCACTTATTCTGTGCAATATTCTCTCCGTGTTCTGTGCTGGTAAGCGTTTTGTTCTGTGGTTTGACATCTATGTTTTTCTGTATCATCAGATTGGGGGGGCGGGGGGAGTGGACGGACCAATTTTGTTCAATATTATTTGTGTGCAATCTCCATTGATTGCACGAAAATTTATTTTTCGAACCTGCTTTTGCCACCCCGCTCCTGGACATGTTGTTTCAAAAGTTACATGTTCCTCCGTTTTAGAGAGAGGAAAATCATACCACACAGATGGTCTGAATTATATTTATGTTATAATGTATCCCGCTTGCTTTTGATATTAACTTTGTTTAAAAATTCATCATTATTCGGCCGTGGTTAATGGACTGCTGGATGAGAACTTGCCCAAGCCGCTGCCATACATCACGATCCCCGTGATGCAACAATCCACCGAACACCGGCACGACGAGCCGAACTCCCCGTTCCAAAATTTTCGGCGGGCGTCCTCCCGGGACGCCGTTCTATTCTCTCATTGCCGTTCCATCAAGGCGCTCGACCGTGGGTCCATCCGTCCCTTTTTACAATGTTGTCTGTCCTACCCGAGCATTGCTTAAATCCGCGCGACATCAACATATACATTTGTTATTTGCCCTGCCCGTGCAAAAGAAGAATTGATTATTGTATGACGGCCATGTACACCAGGGCAGTATTAGGGGACATTTTTGCTGCCAACATCCATTGGCAGGGCATCGACCATGAATAACTTTGCCAACTTGGATGGAAGCGTCACAGAGTTGAAAATGTTTGAGTGAACGATGATTGGTCTACAGACACACAACCTTGGGAATACATGTGACCTTATTGGAAGTTGCTTTCCCGGTTTCCCACTGGAGTGAAGGGGCGATCACATTTTTCCAGATTTCGGCAACCACGTGTTTTTTACGAAAAAAATATCACGGCAACTATTGCCAACGACGTTTGTTGGCAGCAATTGCCATAATATTTCCGTTGCGTCTTGCGTGGCTTTTAGAAGTGCTGTAACAGCCGTTGCATTACATTCCTTCAGGTGATGCCCTGTTGAAGCCAAGACTTTTGAAGTCCAGTCCCTGCTATCTTGACCACATCACGGTAACTCTGCCTCCGTCGCTGGAGCGATTTGAAGAAACCTTGCTGAGCCTTCTCAATCAAGACCGACTCAACGCGGTAAGAATGGGCACTCACCAGCATACACCCTATATAAACTAAACTAACGTTAAAAATAACCGCCACTTTTTTCACATTTTCTTGTTGTGGTTTTCACACCTGATGATGATTGCTTGTGTTGCAGTCGAAACGTCGTGAGAATTTTATTGTTTTATATTTTTATTATTTTGTTTCCCTTCTACGTGACTTTACCGAAAGAACCAAGAATATAAACTAAGATACTTTCATTTTACCAGGTAAGGCCCACTGAGCTATATAGCTCTTTTTCAGAAGCATCCTGGCCACAAATGATCGCCCAACGAAGTGGCTAGTCACGTGGACGTTTATAGCAGCAAAATACTCTAAACGCTTGTTTCTGAATGTCGAGGGAAAAATAGGAGGACCAGGAGAACATTCTGCGTGACCACGGGGAGAGAACATTCAAACACCAAATATATAGGCGTCAGGGTCGGGATCGAACCCACGGCCTCTTGTATACCAGGCGAGGTAGTTCACATCTTGCCACCGTAGCATATATATAGTTTGAGCAGCAGAGAATAGCACAACAAAATCAATTGTTCTGTACTTCTATGCTCCCGCATCTATACTCCCCGCCTTCAATCCGCGCCCGCCATGATCTGCGCAGCATCAGGAAGCCTTAATCCAGCAGCGGATTTGGCAAAAGAGCCGTTGGCGTGCACGTGCAATGTCCATAAGCCTCTCTTTCCCCAACACACGTCAGTGCTTTATTCGTGCTCTTACAACAATGTGGATTTTGCTCGCCGATCACGTGCATGTACGTTGAACATCTTTCGCACCGTACCTAGCCAACTTGGCTAATCGGAGGTGCAGGAATCATTCTTAAGTGTGAGCCCTCAGAGCTGGGCCGGATTATTGTTTCGTTGTAAACAAAATACTTTTCCTGACCACCATACCATGCGGTGAACCTCAAGCCCCCAGCCCCTTACGATTATAAAATAGACGCATTTACGTGTGTCCATCGACCATACAACATCACGAGATTATATATCCATCAACAACGACACCCCGCCTCTGTTGAAAAATGCATAACGCGCAGCGTTGCTTCTGGTGACCTTGTGCACACAGTTACAGGACAGGATGGATGGATGAATAGAACGATATCATATAAATGTGTGTGTGCGTGTATGTATACAACAGGTTTTTTTTAATTATTATTGAAATACATGCGTCAGCTTTGATTGATCACGGGGCCCTCCTTGCGAGCCTCGGCCGCATGTGTGCTAAAGGAGTGCGATTTTGAGCCCACACTCCCGTGTGTCGGGGGGAACGCGCACGTACGCACGTACGCACGCTCCCCGCTCATTAAATCTAAAGGCCAAAATCGAAAGAACGGCCAGACCAATGACGCCAGCTGTCGCGCAAATCTGGCAAGGGAAGCAAGCAGAGGAGTCCATTAATATCTCTTCTCCGTGTGCCTTTTTTTCTCTCTCCGTGACAAATATATATTTTATTTCTTTAAGCAATCGCGCGCAGTTTGATCGTGCGGTCGAAATTGTTCAATACAAAAAAAACTTTATCTTCCAAATACTTGTACCACCCCCCCCCCCCCCCCCGGTGTGTTTCAACAAGCATGCTAACCTTTTAGAAAATATACAAATCCTTTCATGTATATATATCAATGAAGCTTGATATTTAAAGAAAAGACGAAATAATTTTAGAATATCTTATTGAAATGGCATCACTCCCTCGATGATAACATTTTTCGTCTGCTTACAAGATGAAACAACGCTTTAAACAAATATACGGTGTCCACTGATTGACATTTGCGAAATTGTGTATGGTGATTGAAGTTCATCAGAAACCTATTGAAGCAGGAACCTGAATTCATCCAGCCAACTGTTTATCATAGGCAAGGTAACAGTCCATTGATTCATCAAAGGAAACTGATACTCACACTCACAATGCATGCGTCGAATCGTGCGTGTAAGTATTATTTAACTTAATTGTATGTAAATGTTAACTTTAGGCGAAGTAAACAAACAACAACAGGACAATTACAAAGGGACACACACGACCTGTGGACGCTGAGCAGTATGTTTATTGTTTGAAATTACCATGCGTCGGAAATGGGAATCAAGAAAATCATAACAACACAAATTGGGCCAACAAAACAGAAACTGAACGGACAAATGAGACGGTACAAACAAGACACAGAGAACATATTCTCGAATCGAAAGTCGTGAAAGTCAACGGAATCGTAGCGGGAGAGTGGTGTGTTCTGCGTGCAGTTTACACATGCAGGCAGGGTTAGTTGGGCTGAGATGCACTGCTTTTACAATCAAATCGGTCACCTGCTCATTAACTGGGTTCTCAGAGAAGCTCGTTGATGGTCTGAATCCAACCACAGTAGAAATGTATTGGGCAAAATGTGTCCGTGGTGATGAGCCAAAATAATTCACTGCTGGGAAGATAGGATCTCAGGAGTGAATGGGATTAACACATTACAGTGGTACCTCGGTATACATCGTTAATTCGTTCCAGAAGGTAGGAGGACTTATACCGAAAATGACGTCTACCAAATATTTTTTCCATAAGAAATTAAGGGAAAGGAAATAATCCGTTCCAGAGTATAAGAAATTATATTTTATATGGCATATTATACATTAATGTGGTTGTATAACATAATGTAGACACTACTTATTACTAAAATGCATACATACATTAAAATAAATGCATAAATAAATAAAAATAAAATTTTACATCACTTTACCTTTTGATTTAAAGCTTTCGTGACTGCAGGGATTCATATTCTTGGTTCTTTCGGTAAAGTCACGTAGAATGGAAACAATAAAATATATAAAAAATTTTATTGTTTTATATTTTTATTATTACGATAAATAATAAATATATAAAACAATTTTATTGCTTTCTATTTTTATTATTTTATTGTTTCCCTTCTACATGACTTTACTGAAAGAAACAAGAATATCACTTTACCTTGCTGAGAGGAGTTGATAGCCTACGAGGATGGTGGCGAGGAAGGGGAGGAGGAGGAGGAGATGTTATTTTTTTGTAAGGAGAGTCCCCTTCCATTAAAACTTGAGGAAGCTGAAATTCTGGGGTTCTTTCTCTTATCTGTCTTTTTTCTTGACTTGGACCTGTTTGAGGCTCACCAGGTTTGAGTTTTACTAAAAGCCCTGTCCATTGAAGTTTGTTTTTGCCTTCTAAGAATGTTCCTGAAGTGTGATATTGTCTGGTCATTCCACACAATACTGTTACGGCTTGTTAGAGCCGTAACAGTATTGTGTACGCGGGTACTGTACGCGGTGACTCATCCTGACCCATACAAGTTCTAGCAAGCGAGGCGTCGTATCCCAAGGCATTTTTTTTCTCGTCAAAACACGACGTGTACCAAATTCGACGTATTCCAAAGCAGGTGTATACCGAGGTATAACTGTACACTGTATTTTTCTAAGATGGGGAAAAATAAAGGAGAACTCGTGATTTGAACAACACAATATGGGTCCTGCAATCAAAGGGGGAAGACCTCAAGCCAGATGATGGGATACTATAACGGCAGATGTAGGTGGTCAGAAATTAACGGTGCGACAGCTGTGGTTTCTGGCAGAAAGAAGTAACGCCAGGGTCTTGTGGTATCAACACTTTTGCCCACGATAACATCTTGATTTTGATGTACTTTGTATCGAAGTCTAGTTCATGAAGCCTGTCTTCGCCAGGCAAAAGTTTTCAGTAAATATAATTAGCCTGATATGATTTTTGTTATCTACGATTATACACGAACTACGACTCCAAAAATTTGCAATTTTCTGCAAAAATTGTTGATGGCTTGATTCAACTTCTTATATTTAAAGACGTACCCATCGGACACCGCTCAATTTAAAAGATTTCGTAATTTTTTTTTATTAGAAAGAACACAAAAATGTTTTACTTAATACTCTATGAGGGGAAGCTCCTATCTTTTACCGTTTTCGAATTATTCAGATTTGAACATCATAAAATGCCAATATTTTAGTTCAACCCCGCTTTCATTCAAAATATCTCAAAAACAATAAAAGATAGAACCAATGGTTCTCGCTTGAATTTTATTTTCCGTTTAACGCTCTATAAAATGAAAAAACCTGCAATCTTATATTTTGAACTGTTTCTGAATGACACGCACAAAATTTTTATGGAGCAATTAAAATCGACATTTGACGGCCTTAAAATGAAAAATCTCAGATTTTCAAATTTGTCCATGTTGTTTGTGTTCTTTAAGCTACCTATGTACCAAATTTCAGCTTTATACCTTATCGGGAAGTACCCTCGAGGTTTCAGAGACATACATACAGATTAAGGTATTTTTTTATATAGATATTCAATGCATGCACCCTGGTTATAATAGATACGTTTAAAATGACCAAACAATGGCATGCTGTAAAAATAGAGAAATGTAAGTTCAACATTCCATTGGTTACATGCTGAGATAAAATCAGGTCATCGGTTACGAGGTCACGCTTTGGATGATCATTATTTTTTATTAGGTACATTCTTTATTTTTTGCTCCGTGACGTTGTGGCAGGCGTGGCCCAAATCGCATATTGCGAAGTCAGGAATTCAAATTCCGGTCTGGGATCAACTCGGCACATCTTCCCTCGGCGGGGCTCAAGTTTGGTTGTGAACGTTCTTCATCTTTCCTATAAACTAGTTCTCACCAACAGGAATGTGGAATTTGCACCACCGTTTCAGAATTGGCGAAAGGGGTGAGCACTGACTGTCCCACTTGTTTGAGTAAGACAGACATTCATATTTGTATGCTTTCCACAATAGTGGCCTTTTGAGTTAGATCGCATGAATATAAACGTCACGTAAACAAAACGTGCCAATTGGTTTACTAGTCCAACACACCAGTGTAAATGCTGCGGGTTTACTAGTGTTGGACTAGTAAACCCGCAGCATTTACAATTCGAGAACCGCGAAGTTTCGCCAGTAATTAAAACAATTAGGCGACAGCTAGACTTGTGGAGAAATCCTCCTGTTTTGGTCTTAAATAGAGGTCGCGAAAGCCTACGTGTTAAATTGCATGATTTCGTTTAGGGTTCAGAAGTGGCCAGGTGGAGCGGTGGCTCTGCGGGATTACACACCGTACTATGATGAACCCAGTCACGTGAGTTTGATTCCCAGCCATGGTTGTATGTATATACAGTAAAGCCTTGGATTGCGAGCATAATTCGTTCCGGAAACGTGTTTGTAATCCAAAGCACTGGTATAATCAAAGCGAATTTCCCCATAAGAAATAATGGAAACGCAGATGATTCGTTCCACAACCCAAAAATATTAATGTAAAAATGATTAATACAAAATACCTTTTTATATTTTTATTATTTAAATTTAATATAAAGTAATCAAATTGATTCATTAAATTTAATGGTGGCTGGTGTGAGGGAGACGAGAGAGAGAGAGAGGAGAGGAGGCCATTGTTGCATTACAGTTACTAAAGAACAGTCACTTCATTTGGACACAAAATAAAAAAAATGCTTTACGCACACACACGTGGTCACAACACTATAGTAAACAGTATACGCTCGCACGGATTTTGACTATACGAGTGAGGCACGCCGACTGAGACCGAGCATGGGAGATGATTACCCACAATCCCGCAGCGAGGGAGAGAAGAACCTTTGGCTCAGTTGTGATCACGTGATGCTCGGCCGACAAAGCGTATACGTACTACTCGTATTGTAAGACTTCGCTCGTTTATCAAGTTAAAATTTATTAAAACATTTTGCTCGTCTTGCAAAAACACTCGCAGACCAAGTTACTCGCAATCCAAGGTTTTACTGTATAATGTTGAACTTCTTTCGCACCATACGTAGCCAACCGTGTTAATTGTAAGTGCTTTTGATGAACCCGGTGACATTAGTTCGATTTCCAGCCACGGCTGACATCGGTTACAAGCAATATATAATCTGGGTCCTGGCTCTACTTCAGCAACCCTCAGTGGCCAGTGCGGTGAACTTAGTTAATTAAATCCCCCCCCCCCCCCCATTACGGACACGGAGTGGGGAGGCCTTCAGCAATGGATTGACAAAAATATGTAAATTGTTACTATTAATTATTGAAAAATATTTCCACGTTTCATGCAAAAACATTCCTTAGAAACCACCCGCCAAGTTATAGCCATTTTCTTTCCCATTTACCGTTCTAATATTGCACTTTTTAAAATTCCCTAATCGGCTAAAGCTTTTAAAATATAAACATTTTCTACTTGAAATTATAGGATTTCTTCCCTTGTTTGTGTATTCATAAATGTATTCAATCATTTTTCTCTGATGTGTTATGTCTGTCATGGAAACGGTGTGTTTTTTTACTTGATGAAACCCCACTTAAGAGCTTCTTAGCTCACAGGGTACTGCAGAATAAACTGGAACCGAACGGATTGAGTTTGACACGATGCGTGTTCGTTGCCTGCGCACAGAGTTTGTTGAATGTAAGAACTCCTTTAATTGTGGCCTTTTTTTTGTCGAGAGTAGAAAGGGACTTGTGAATCGGATAAAGACCATTGATCGCTATGGCCTGGGCCGGGCACCTATTGCCCAGACATCACCAATTCATTGTTCAAATTGTACATGCAACAAACTGATCGATTGCCATAAACCCGACGCTATCTTAAAAACTATTTTTTTACACTGTATTAGTGTTTGGGATTATTTTATTGTTTGAAAGCTTTAACTAGCTTTAATGTGCACGGAAATGACAACATATTCTTCTTCCCAAGTCCATTGTCAACAGCAACTCACTCAAGCACTGCAAGCACATGATCGTGTTACTTTAAAGTGACTTAATGAAGGATCGTTATTATTTAACTTAATGTACAGAATGGTGAACATAATGATTCGTGTTAATTAAGCCACGTGTAAATACAGCCTTGCCATTTAAAATCGTTGATTTATCTCCAAGCAGTTCAACAGTCAGATTCCTATAATTGTTCACGCATTTTAAGCCCGGAGTGAAAAAGGTTGGAGTTAATCTTTGCTATTCTACATGGGCACCTGTGTAGGTGATCATTGTACGGCCACACTACCCAACAATGACGTAGGGAGCCGTGGTGCAGTGGTTAGCGCATTGTGCCATGCATCTGGCTGTCTGAGTTAAGACGTTTCAGCCATGGTTAACGTCAGTGACGAGTTGTCATCTCAACAAGTTCTTGGCGACCACCATCCTGAATAAGAGTCGGTGAGGCTTTACCCTATGTCAACAATTGTAAAAAATAATAATAGTGCCTTGGATTGTTTGATTGATTGTATTTTACGCAGGTAAGAAACCTTCAGCCTTAAGCTGATTCCCAAAAATGACCCTGTGGAGGAGCTCGGTGAACAAAGGGACGTTTTAGCATTGAAAAAAAATCAAAACAGTGTAGAACACCGAGTGGCAAACACATTCAAGGAGAACACAAATCAAGTCACACACCGCTCATGTAACACTGGCAGGTAACATGGAAATATAAAAAAACTTGCGTGGGGTTCACCAAATCACACGCGCAAGCAAAGGGACATCTTCCCTGATAGATGTGTGCTTTAAGAAATGTGCTAATGCCAAACGCTGTCATTTATATTAACATTCACTCCTTCCTGTTCCGATGATGTACGTGTACATCATTCGTTTTTCTTCCGGAGTCAATCCCGAACGGAACGGAATCGAATCGATTCCAAATCAGAAGTAAAAAAAAAGTAAAAGGTCATAATCGGTTAAGGGCGTGTGGCACAGTTCGACGCCAGCTATCGTAGAGTGCGGTCGTGTCGCTACAGTTCTCTGCGGTGAGTAAAGTACAATGTCTTTGAAAACAGCAGCGCTACGCCTCTCTAAATTAAAAAAAATTACCGCGAACCGCTTGCGCGGTTCCGAGATTCAGCGGTGAACGGAACCCCCACCAAACCCCGCAACTTAAAGACATCCCGGGACGGGAAAGGGTTCACGTCATGCTTTGCCATCCACGTTCGTAACGCTTGGGTGCGTGACCCGACGGCCGGTTGCGCGTGGCAGGACGACCGCATGCCGGACGGACACGCGGTCGCCGTGCAGGAGCGAAGGCTGCACATCGGGGTCCACAACGGCTGGACCTTCGTGCAGGACCCGCAGGTGGCCGTGCTGGTGCCCGAGTGGGACACGGGCAAGGGCGGCTCGGGCAGCACAGGCGGCGTCCACAAGCGCTCGGCGTCGCTAACCCGCACAGGGTACGTATGGCCTACTAGGTTACACGAAGTTGCGATTGGACACTTTCATGTATTTTAAAAAAAAGAAAGTGCAATTGCGTCGTACGAATCGCACGTTTTGTTTATGAGTCACGGTGGTGCCTGAAGGGCAAGCTCTTGACTCGGAATCCGAAGGTTGCACGAGTTTATGATATTGTTTTGGGGGGGGCTAACTCACCCAATTGTGAATCATAATCGGTTTCATTTTAGGTCAGATGGTGTGTGTATAACGTCAATCAGAGCTATGCGCCCGGCACAGCCAAGCCAATCAAGTTGTCTCCTGGGTGGATGTGCCGATTGATTTTGCTTTTTAGCAAACCGGTAATGTTAAACAGCGAGCAAAATGTGTTCTATTTTGTACGAAGTTTCGCTCGACATTGCAACCAGCGTTATCAGGTGTTTGCAAAAGCTCAGATATTGAGTGATTGGCACATTTGCCCAGGTGACAACTTCATTTGTTTGGCTTTGTCGGGTGGTGGAGGGTTATCACTGTGATTGACACCACACCTACACACAATCGAACCTAAAAATAATCCAATTATGAATCATAATATTGGTCGTCAAAGCCTACGTGTAAAATCATCCTATCAGCCCCTTTGGGGATGCAAAACTAAGTATCATTTTGCGGGAAGTTAATAGTGGTGTCCTCTTTTTGAGAGATTGATCCCTCTCATGGGGAATGTGAAATAGCCACATATGTAGCACGGTTGGCTATGTGGGGTGCGAAAGAAGTTCAACATGCATGCTCATGCGTGGCCACTGTGACATGAATGTTGCAGCTATCAGGGAAAAACTTGGACTTAGAGTTTGTGCTGCAGGCGGTAGACATACCTATGGGGTGGAAGAGGGGCTTAATTATGAAATGTGTACAAATATTACGTACAGATATGGTAAGGAATGTAAGTGGATGCAGGATGTTGGTTTTTGATGGATGGGTATTTTACGGGCATAATCTAGCGCACTGTCAATTGTGCGGCTGAAACGTTCACAAAATCAAAACATTTTGCGAAATGTATTGAAGGTTCTAATGAAGCATTCCAACGCTTGCGTCATGTGTCAGCAGCAGCTGTAGCAGGGGGAAAAAAATAAATCACATCAAATGACCGTCATATTTGTTACATTTATTTTTATATCTTGGATTTGCTATTCTTGGTTGGGTAATTGGGCTCATGTGATTCCAAATGGAGGAGGATGTTTTAAGCAAATCTATTTTACAATTTTCTGGTCAATCCAGAGTGCAAAGTCTCTTACTTTGTCTCTTACTTTGCACTGCGCAATGATAATGGCGTGCGAGCTCACTCACTCACTCACCGACCCATTGTGCTCATGCGCATTTTAAATCATTCAGAGCTCTTCTATTCATCTTCCGTTCAACTCTGCGGATTTAGTGACAATAAGGCCACATTACATAATTTTATTCCCGAACGGGCTTAAGTCGTGGGCTCGTAATGCATCTGGACAGCAATCTACTAATGCAACAATCAATCCCCCCAGGTGGCGGCTGAAGCCGAGATCATTGCATAGACGCAAGGCTGGGGCATAACGATGCCTCGCCTGCTAGATGCTGCGGTTTCATCGCAGGAAGAAAATGGTGCCGTGCAGGGTTGTCCGCCGATCCCCCGTGCCGCCGCTGCCCGCCTTGTTATCTTGCCACCTCTGAGCGTGCGTTTCTGAACCGGCAATGTTTTTCAATTATTTTCTTTACTTTTAAGAACCTATCCCAACCACTCCCCCCCCCCCCCCCCCCCCGTGCTCATTATGTAGCGTAAGTATGTCATGTGTCCTTTTCATGACTTTCAAATGCCTTCAGTACGTGTGGCAGAGTATACCGGCAAACAACAGCAACAACAACGACGATGGTGGTGATGATGCTTCTTGTGTCCATACGTTTTAGCACAATTTTCCTTCAACCAAATGAGCCTGAATGCACCCAATCTCATCAGATCTTGGGAAGCCAAGCGTGGTTGGCACTGGTTTAGTACTTGGATCGGTGACCACCAAGGCTTGCATTCTAGGCACGAGGGAGCAAGCTTGGTGGCTGTAGTCCCCTCGTTTGCATGGATTTTCTTTGGGCTCTCTCACAATATCTTGAAGGTCACTTAACAAATATTTGTTAGAAGGAGTCAACTAGAAAACACGTCGGAGTATGAGTGCCTGGGACAATTTTGTAAGTAAGGCTCGCATCAGCGTAGTGAAATCAAGAGGCAAGCCTCCCTTAAATAAAAAAATTATGATTCTAGAGACGTATGTATTATTTTTGGGATCCAAAACGGGGAGACGGTTTCAACCCCGATGCACCGCGTAAAGGGCGCAGCTCCCACGAGGCAGCCAGCGCACCGTTGTCTCGAATTTGTAGGCCGGGAGGATCGGGGGGAAGGGTGATGGTGGTGGTGGAGCCGTGTCGGGCTGCTCCGTGTTTTCTCTTTCCTGGGAGGTCCACGTCCTGCGGAGTCCCACGTGCGAGATTAAACCGTGCATTTAAAATCAACGTGTGTTTGGAGTATTTGGCCGCTATCAATTTTCCACGTGACGGTAAGCCACTTTTGTTGAGCTATCATTTGTGACCAGGTCGCTTCTGAAAAAGAAGACAATAGCTCAGTGTGCTTTACCTGGTAAAATAAATAAAAGTTTAGTTCTATTTGTATTTCTTACGTTGATTTTCTTACCTTTCCTACACTTTGTGCTCCAACCCTATTTTTTTGTATCGTTTGGCGTTATAACGTTCTGACCCGCGCCCTACTGGAAATCAGTGAAAAAGAAGCTTTACAGCTCATCGGATTCTTCCGGTATAAAAAAAAAAAACACGTTTAATTCTGATCCTGAAACCATACAAACACACCGCCCGGCGGGCTCCGTCATGCGCAAAATGACAGCGCAACGCCATCGGTCCCCGGCGTTGGATCTTCCACCGCTTTTCTCACCGGTTACACCGCGCGGTGCTGTCCCTTCACCAAATCGCCTGGAATGCGGCCGGGCCTCACGGCTGCGCGCTTTGCTGCATCTCGTCCTTCAGACCTGTTGTGCCGCAGGCCCCCCCCCCAAAAAAAGACATCCTCCCTTTCGTTCTCCAACGGCCGATTGTTTTTCTCTCCCCGCGTGCGCGGAACGTCCTCTTAATTGAATGGCTCGCATTTTTTCCGCCGGCACGCCGCAAATATGTTCCCGTGACGGAAGATTTGTCAGTAGAAGAAACCAGCGGCAAGTGGTCCTGGCGGGTGTCGTAAATATCGTTTCTGTACATTTTATGCGCGGATATCATTTTGCCCCCCCAACCTCACGCCCTCACGCCTCTCGTACCGTGCCCCAGCTGTATTTCGGTGCCGCTTTGCCTTGCTCCGGCTCTTAATGGGCGACTTTTTGGGCTAATGAGTCCAATTAGATCTCGGTAAAAACAGTGGGCCCCTCTTGCGTTTCATTAGCGGCAGCGACTGTTAACAAGGTGCCCATGCGTGCATAGTGGAGGTGGCGGGGGGGGGGGGTCGGCAGCCACGGGAGATGGTAGGCCTGGAAACGACCTGGCGTAGCCCCCCCCCCCCCCCCCCATGAGATGAAGCAAAACAAAAATCTTTCCTCCCTTCCTGGAGAGTGCCCAAGTGTGGGTTGGTTCATGCGCTGGTGCTTTAGCCAGAGTGTGAAGCATCCGCAGCCAATTACGCCCCTGTCTATATGCAGTCAGCTTTTATTGTCGCAGTGGCGCAGGGCTGGGACTTAAGTGCATGTCACTTGTGTTTTCGTAGACCAGAATTGGAGTGTTGGGTTTGTGCGTCTGCGCGTTTGGTTGGTGGAGTTTTTATTACTTTGGATTTCAAGAACTGATGCTTGTCAGTGACTTGTGAAGCTTTAAAAAAATAAAAAAACTACTTGCGACACTTTTTTATTTATTTACATATGTTCGCTTGTCTGCTCACCATCAATTATATAATGGCTGTTTCAACCCAAATGGGCTTGAGCGGGTGGGGGGGAGGGGGTGACAATCTCTAATTACCAGTGGATATGCCCAAATGTTTGAATCACATTATTTGTCTTCTGTTGTAACGTTCTTACCCCATGCCCCGACTGGACATCTGTGAAAAAGAGCTTCATAGCTCATCGGACTTTTCCAGTGTCAATAATTATTCAGATTCTGTGATATTCCATGTTCAGCAGTGCACTTGGCTTTTGTCTTGTTATTAATAACCACGCACGCCAGGACCATTGCTCACACCTCTAAACTAAGGATTGAAACTGCTGGCGTATGCGTTTTTTTATCTGAAACATACTCTCTCCAGAAATGAACAAAAATGCACGATGTTTACACACCATTATACATTAATAATTGATTTCCTCTTTGCTGCTGTTAGGACTTCATTGCTGGGAGCCTTTTAAGACAAGAGACCAACAGACTGGTCTCTGATGGGGCCACGTTAGACACATAATAGACTGACGGACCATCTCTGATGGGAGCTTTTGACAACAAACTGTCACCTAGATTATTATGGGGGGGGCCTTTATAGAGTGGACTGACAGATCACTTTTTGATGGGGTCTCCAGACAATATCTTTAACATGATGCTTTCAGCAACATCACCCTAAAAAGGAATCTAGATTAATACCCATGCGTTGCAGAAATTTTCACCGTAACACACACGACAGCTTTGTTAATTTACACGTTTGAAATTAAATCGAAACAGCCGTTGCATACATCAGCCTGTGAAAGGGGGGGGGGGGTGGAGGGGTGTGCAGGGCAGGGCTGGGTGGGTGGAGATAAAGCAAATAAATAATCTTTCCAAAAGATAAATACGGTGGACGTGTATCATGCGTACGAAACTTATTTGGTCGGGAAGAATAATGTGGACACCGCGAGGCCTTGGAGATTGATAAAAGCGAAGTTGACGGGCATCGGCATCCTTCAACGCTTGGGCACGCGTGCGCGCCGTTCTTCTTGGCGAGGCTTGCGCAGGCATTGTTTGTTCACAGCGTGTTTGTCAACGCAACCCCGAGTTG